CGTGGGGCGGGCGGGCCCCAGAGCCCGCTCCTCAGTTCATCCACACCCCGCGCAGGGGCCCAGGACGCCCAGGTCCCCAAGCCCCTGGGGAGCAGCGCCCCGGAGGGAAGCCCAGCCCAGCCCAGACCGCCGCGTCCGCACCCGCGTCCGCACCCGCACTGCACGCACTAGCTCACCTGCAACTTCTCCCGCTTCTCTTTGAGTTGCCAGGCAGGACCCGGAAGTACATCCCCCGGTAGCGGAAGCAGAACCTTTGTGAGACCGGAAGCGAGTGTACGGCAAACATGGCGTCGGCGGTGCTGGCGCTGACGACGCGGGCCGCTGGTAAAGGGACGCGTGGCCGTTCCGGGGGGCGGAGTGGAGGTGGAGAGGAGACCTTGCAGGGAGCTTTGGGGGCGGTGGTGGAGGCCGCTCCCTGCGGAGGACCCTGGGTGCCGGGCCGCGGGGCTTGCAGGGCGGCTGTCGCTGATCACGTGACAGCTGGGGCGCCGAGCGGTGGGTGGTGGTTCGAAGCCCACGTGTCCTTCCTCTGCCTGGAGTGTAAATACCTGCAGCTTCCCTAGCGATTGGTGACACGGACTCGCCGCCTCCCTTCTCTGACTTTGTTTGGACACTTTATATCATCTATATAAATGGGTTACTAGCAGGCACTCCGAGCTCACAAAGTTAGTCTGTTGGCTCAACAGGTGGAGGACTTTGTGCCAAACACTGGGGATCTCAGCAGAAAAGAAGACATAGTATCCCCGGGACGATTCTTTCTAGTGACTACGCCAATAAATGAGCACAAATGAAATGTAAATAGTAACAAGTGCTGTGAAAGGAAGCCGGGGTGTGTGTGTGTGTGGGGGGGGAGGGTTGAGTGGTCAGGGGAGCCCTGGAGGAGGTAACATCTAGCTAAGACCCAAAAGATGACCGGAAGCTCAGCTGACCTGACTCAGCTTTAAACTTCAAGAAGCAAACTCTTGTTCTTATGTGAATCTAGAGCAGTGGTTCTCAACCTGCCTAATGCCGCGACCCTTTAATACAGTTCCTCATGTGGTGACCTCCAACCATAACATAATTTTCGTTACTACTTCATCACTAATTTTGCTACTATTATGAATCCTAATGTAAATATCTGATATGCAGGATGTATTTTCATTGTTATAAATTGAACATAATTAAAGCATAGTGATTAATCACAAAAACAATATGTAATTATATATGTGTTTTCCGATGGTCTTAGGCCGCCCCTGTGAAAGGGTCGTTCGCCCCCCAAAGGGGTAGTGACCCACAGGTTGAGAACCACTGATCTAGAGGGTAGGAGTGGAAGTCAGGATACCAGACTCCTGAGAGATGAGGGATGATTTAGTCGAGATGTTACTGTCAGTGAACTTGGAGGCAAATGGGTGGATTTGAGGTCTGTTTTGGAGGCAGAACGTCTGTTTTGCTGCTGAACTGGAGATGGAGGTGAGCAAAGGGAAGGAATTGTGATGATGCCTTGATTTCCGCCTGAGCAACTGCATAGGTGGTACCATCACTTACTTTGAAAAAGAAGACTGAGGAGTAGAGTGAAGGGCGAAGGTTTGTGAATGAGATAATGTAGGTAAAGCAAAAGCCCAGTTCCTGAGCTTAATTCGTAAGTGAACAAATGAAGCAGTCTTTAAATGTAGGTAGACTGTGGTGCTGGACATGTATTTAATGTGTCTATCTAAGTCCTTATCGCTGGTGTTTTGCCCCAGCTAGTCTCAGTTCTCGTTAAAACTTCAGAAACGTAGGCTTTAGGAACTCTGAACTTACAGGCTCCAGAGACCCACAAGATCTCTTATACCTGGCATGTCCCTGGCTAACCATGGCTGTGCCTGGAGACCTGAATGCAAGCACTGCCAGCCCTGGGCTTGTCATATAGCAAGCGGCTTACATCTCCGTTAGTATGAGTTTTAGCTCACTTTCCTTTTTAAAACGAATGCCTCTGAGCACCTTAGAATGGGTATAGAGAGGTCAGATGAACAGGGCAGCGTGTCAGTCTTCTTGGGTGGACCTGTGCTTGGTGGGCTTGCTGAAGACAGGGTCCAGCCTTCTGGAATGCCCAGGATCCCGTGGGAGCCATCCTCAGGAAAGCTGCTCTTTTACAAGTTTTGGTGTGCAGGGGATGGGTGGCTGGCTAAGGAAGTGGTGGGTGTCTCTCTGGGTGTCCTGTTGCTGGGCTCTGTGGTCTGGCCCCTCCACAGTGCTAGGAGCCTTGAGGGCATGATGGTGAGCGAGGCTGAAACAGGCAGCTCTGTGGTGCCCTCTTGCCGACTTCTATTTCTGTGGTGTTTGTTTCTCCGCAACAGGGCTGAATGTGTCAAGACCCAGGGCACATGGTGTTTGGGGTTTCTTCCCCCCATTAATATTTTACTGCCCCACCCCTCATCCCCTGGCCACACACACACACACATCCCAGGCCGTGCTTACACTCTGGACAATACAAGGAATGACTTGTCTCCTGCCGTGGGAGAAGGCCAAGGGCTTGAGACACTCCCTGAAAACCAACACAGCCAAGTGGCATTTCTGCTTCACATACCTCCTCACCTCCCCTGCTATTGCCTCCTGCCACCCCTCAAACTAGCAAATGGCCCACTGCGGGGGAGAAACAGAGTCTGTCTGAACAGCATTTCTGTTCTCTCTGCAGCTACAGCCCTGCTGAGGCCCCCTCAGGCTGCAGCTCTTGCCGTCAGATATGCATCCAAGAAGACAGGTGGCAGCTCCAAAAACCTCGGTGGAAAGTCACCAGGCAAACGCTTTGGCATCAAGAAAATGGAGGGTGAGGGTGTGCCCTGGCTTTCATTTCCCAGCTGTACCCTATCTTGTGTCCCTGGCGTTCCTTTGAAGAGCAGGAAATCCTGGCCTAGTGCTCTCCCCTTAGCTCAACAGAGCATTTAGCTCCAGATTAAAGAGTCAGATAAAGCCTGAGGCGGGCTGGGGGCCTGAGGAAGAGCAGATAGTGTGAACCTTGGGCATGCGACTCGGGAGAGGAGGCTGCTGGGTCGGAGACGGAGCTGCTTGTGTTGGACCACCTGGGAGTTGGTTTTATCCAGGGGCAGACTTAGAGGTCGGTGTGCAGCATTTGGGTCAGGACAGTGTGGGCCATTGTTTTCTTAGCAGTTTGCTGTGCTTCCCATAGTCAGCGCACGTGTGGACTTCTCTTCTAGGTCACTACGTTCATGCCGGCAACATCCTTGGGACTCAGCGCAACTTTCGCTGGCACCCAGGTGCCCATGTGAGTTGTTTTGTGCCCCCTCCCCATTTCTTTTCTGGGACCACCTCTCCATGCTCCTAAGCACAGGAATCTATATATATAAAAGGCTAAGCAACCGTTACGACTGGTTGGCCGGTCGCTGTGACGCGCACTGACTACCAGGGGGCAGATGCTCAACGCAGGAGCTTCCCCCTGGTGGTCAGTGTGCTCCCACAGCCAACATCCCGCTGCCAGCCAACCTCCCGTGGTTCCTTTTCTGGCCAGCCGGCCAGCCCCAATCACCATGCAGGCCGAGGAATTCCACCCGTGCACGAATTTGTGCACCAGGCCTCTAGTAATAAAATAAAACAGTTGCGTTTATTGGGTACTTACCAAATGCCAAGCATTTTGCTGATTCCTGGTCCTACATTTACTCCTTACCCCACCCCTATAAGGTATGTAGGTATCATCTCCATTTTACAGGTAAGGTGCCAGAGACTTAGAGAGTGGAGGGGCCCAAGTGACAGCTGGGATTGGAACCTTGTCTGCCTGACTCCCAAATCGCTGTGTTTTGCCTAGGGATAGCACTGGTTTCCCTTCTAAACCCCAGTTCTTTAAGAAAAAGATGCCTCGTGATTTAAGATATTTTTGAATCTTGGGAAACTAATTTTAATGTACTCATTTTTCTTTATTTCTAAGAACTCCTTCTTTGCATAAAACTGTTACTACGTAGCTGAAAGAGAGCTTGAATTTATTAGTACAATAGAATTGAATGTGTATATCAGAAATTAGGTCCATATCAAGCAGGGATTTCAATTCAGCAAGTTAAGATTACTTTCTGAGGTAGGAAATTTTTTGGGTAACACAGGTCCATACTGTACTCTTCACATTTTATTTTTCTATTTATGCTGTTTGTTTGTTTGTTTATTTATTTTTCTTCCCCCCTGCCCCCACTTTATTTTAAAATTAGTTTAGCCCTGGTCAGTGTGGCTCAGTTGGTTGGAAAGTCATCCCATACAGCAAAAGGTGGTGGGTTCGATCTCAGGACAGGGCATATGTGAAAGGCAACTGATTGATGTTTCTCTCTCACATTAATGTTTCTCTCTCTCTCAAATCAATTAAAAAAATTAGTTTCCTTGTTAATCAATGCCCCCAAACCCAACCCCTTTTTGAGCAATTTTAATAGGAACAGAAGGACTGATAGTAACCTATAGTTATTTCAGAAATATTAATGCATTTGTGAATTGATTGTATTTGTGTAGCTTTATATTTTAGAACTTAAGACTGTGTTGCTATGTTAACTCTTGGGACTTGCTAAAATAATGACAATAATAAGAGCCAACATATTTTGAGCTAGGGCCGTGGTTGGCAAACTGCGGCATGTGAGCCACACGCAGCTCTTTGGCCCCTTGAGTGTGGCTCTTCCACAAAATAACACGTGCGGGCGCGCACATACAGTGCAATTGAAACTTCGTGGCCCATGTGCAGAAGTCAGTATTTTTTGGAAGAGCCACACTCAAGGGGCCAAAGAGCCGCATGTGGCTCGCATGCTGCAGTTTGCTGAGCCGCAGTTTGCCGACCACTGAGCTAGGGTATTCCAAGTATTCTAAGCTCTTATGATTGTTAATTCATTTAATCCTCAGGGTAACCTTATAAAGTAGTTAATATTAGCCCCATTTTGCAGATAAAAAAATGAGAGTCTGAAGTAAAGTAACTTGCCCAGATCAAACATAACAAGGAGTAGTGCTGGGATCTGAATGAAGCATCCTGACCCCAGAGTCCTTTCTTTTAAGCAGAGAAATAATAAGTAACTTATTATTTCACACTGGACTGCCTGCCTGAAAATTGTCACACATCCAATCCCAAGTTCTAAGAAAAAAGCTAAAATATATAATGTTAAAAAACTAAGTACAACACACAGTTTATTTAATCACTGTTTGACGTACTTACCTGAAAAACAGAAATAATACCTGCTAAACAAGGTGAGAACTAAACAGGTTGATGGCTATAA